CCGTAGCAGGTACTCCAGTCCACCGATCCGTAGCTCCCTCGTCCTCCATCAGCTTTTGGTGAGCCCTTTCCTCTCAGGGCCCTGCGTGGCTCAGGCCGCTTGATTTCGGAGTTTTATTTTGATTTTGTGTAAGGTATAGCCGGAGCCTTGTTACCGGCAAATACTATATTATCCTGTTGTACTTTAGAGGCTCCGTGGACAGTAGATGTGGGTTAAGAACTTGTGCTAAACCCATTTGACTCCGATCGACTTTTGCCCTTTTGGAAGATCAATAAGCTCCCAAGTATTATTCTTTTCTATTGATGCAATTTCAACATCCATTGCTTTCTGCCACTTCAAATCTTTATAGGCATCCTCAAATCTTACTGGATCACAATCAGAAAATAAAGCTACATAGGTAAGAGAATCTTCATTTTCAGATTGATGAATTCCACTAACCTCATAATCTGCCATCCATGCTGGTGTTCTTCGATCTCGTTGAGGTCGGGAATTGATGCCTTCTTGATTTACCAAGGTAGAAGAACCTTCATTTTCAGTCACTGGTTGCTCTTGCTCCCTGACTCCATCAAGATCTAAAGAAAGTTGTTGGTTGCTTGAATTTTCTTCCCATGGCCAGAAATTATCTTCGTCAAACACCACATCACGACTGATAATTATCTTTTTGCTAACTGAATTGTACAACTTGTAGGCTTTTGACTCCTTGCTAACACCAAGGAAAACACACTTGATGGCTTCGTCATCTATCTTTGTCCTTTTCTGATCTAAAACATGAGCAAATGCAACACAACCAAACACTTTAAAGTGTTCAACATTTGGTTGCTGTCCACTCCAAGCTTCTTCTGGGTCATGTTTTGAATAGCACGAGAAGGACTTCTATTCAAAACATAGACACTCCAGCAAATAGCTTCAGGCCAAAAAACTCTAGGAAAATGACTCTTTCGCAACAGGCTCCGCACAACATTCATGATTGTCCGATTCTTCCTCTCACATACTCCATTTTGTTGAGGAGTATAAGCTGCTGTAAGTTGCCGACGTATCCCATGAGATTCACAAAAACTTATAAATTCTTGTGAAAGATACTCCCCTCCACGATCCGTGCGAAAGATCTTTATGGAACATCCTGTCTCCTTTTCAACAAGAGCTCTGAAGCTTTTAAAAGCTATAAAAGCTTCAGATTTTTCTTGCAAAAAATGAACCCATGTCTTCCTGCTAAAATCATCAATAAACGTTATAAAATAACATTTTCCTCCATTGGAAATTGGATTTATTGGTCCACAAATGTCTGAGTGAACTAGTTCCAACTGCCTTTTAGCTCTCCACGCTTTTCCTTTTGGAAAGCTATCGCGAGATTGCTTTCCAACGACACAATCTTCACAAATATCTACTGGAATATCAAAATTAGGAAGACCAGAAACCATCTTCTTCTGCTGCAACAGTTTTACTCCTCCAAAATTTAGATGTACATATCTGTAATGCCAGAGCCATGCTGGACTATCCAATTTTGTTGAAAAACAAAAATTGGTAGAGCCAATATCTTGCACATGAAGCGGGAAAAGTTTATTTGCAGTCATCTTAGCTTCAGCAATCAACCCAAGATTAGAATCTAGGATTTTGCAAATTCCATGCTTGATAGACACTTCATAGCCGTTCTCTTGAAGTTGACCCACACTAATAAGATTTTTCTTTAAATCCGGTACAAAGAACACATCAGAAATAATATGCACAGATGAAGATTTTGTTTGAACTTTTACCTTCCCTTTTCCTTTGGCAGCAAGTCGGGAATTGTCGCCTAACTTGACTGTTGTGCGAAAAGTTTCATCCAATTCAGAAAATGCAGATTTTTCTCCACACATATGGTTGCTACAACCTGTATCTAAATACCATAAATCCGTGTGGTGTTCTTCTGTGGATTGAGACACCATCAACAAAGAAACCTCCTCCTCCGTCTCAGTTACTTCTGTAAAATTAGAGTTTTCTCCACGTACATTTTTCAAATTTGTACGACATTCAGAACGATAATGGCCATACCTGTGACACCTATAACACTCAATGTGGGACTTATCTGCAGACCTTGGCTTCCCATTTGACGAGTGTTGTTGATCACGACCATGTTGACCATTCTTTTTGTGAGTTCCTTCTTCAGCTTTGTTTGAGTTTCTTCCCTTCCACTTGTTCCTTCGACACACAGAATCTTTGGAGGTTGTGATTGCTTGCAAGGCTTGCTCCTCCGTATCTTGCTTAACAATTTTCTGCTCATGAACCATCAAAGAATTTTGTAGTTCATCAAATGAAAGAGTATCAAGATCTTTCGGCTCTTCAATGGAGCAGATAACAAAATTAAATTTAGGCAACATGGACCGCAGGATCTTCTCGACGATGGTAACATCTGCAAGTCTCTCTCCATGAATTCGCATCTTGTTTGCAATTGCCATTGTGCGTGAGAAGTACAACGACACCGACTCTCCCGATTTCATACGCAGGGTTTCAAACTCACCTCGTAGAGTTTGAAGTTGTGCTCGCTTTGCCCTTGCATTCCCTTGGTATATCTTCTTCATAGAGTCCCAGATTTGCTTTGACGTATCCTTGCAAAGAATTGTTTCCAATATTAAACGATCAATGGCTTGGAAAAGATAGTTCTTTGCCTTCAAGTCTCTCAATTTTTGTGCTTCAAGTTCTGTCTTTTGAGCATTTGTTAGAACAACATCCGCTCCAGGTTCTTGAATCCCACCATCAACGACTGCCCAAAACTCTTTGGACCTCAAAAAGTTTTCCATGAGCATGCTCCAATGGTCATAATGGCCATCAAAACGAGGAATGGCTGCTTGCACAAAGTTGTTCTCTGAAGTCATAGATGAACAAAGTTCTGGGTAAAATCTCCCTCCCTCAAAGATCTAACCTGGCTCTTGATACCACTGTTAGAAATCTGGAAGAAAACTAGACAAACACAAAGCAATTTTGGGGAGATAAAATTACTGCAATAAAATTCAACAACGAACAAGCCTTTTATAAAGGCAATACAGTTCCTACATTATCTAAAGCACTAAGCCATAAAGGAAGTTAAAACAAACCCACTTAGTCCACTAACTACACAACTCCCCCATATACCCATAAGACTAGGAAAGCAGAAACTAACTAATTAAAATATCTAACAATGACTATTTTAAGTCTACTATTTTAGATGGTGTTGAATTTTCAAGTGGCATTTGGGGTGATATCATTTCTATGGAGACATCTAACACCCCAGCATATAGTTCTGGATTTCAAGAATTTTATTTTCATAATGTCGAATTTCCAAGTAATATTTGGGGGGATCCCCCCGTTGAATTATTGAAGTACTTTAGGATTTAAGTTATATGTGTTGACGAACTTTTTACAGTATTAGTATAATTTAATATGTTATAATAAGTTGCCCCTTCGTCGAAAATTTACATCGCATAAAAAAGTTTTATTTTATGCATATAAACTATACGTTAAATCCCCTTAGCTTCTTAGTATATTTACTTCTTTATACTTTGGCTCTCCTTAGTGAAAATTCTGGTTCCGCCACGGTTAATGGTACTAATTTTCACGCTTTATGAGCAGTTTATGTAATTATCTTTTAGTTGACCTAATATTGTAAAAATTCGATACTCTATACTCAATTATAATTTGTATAAAACTTGTTCTCGAACCAAACCATTCCTTCAATATACAAATCAAGATTAATTTACATTATTTTATCACTATATGAGAATCAAATTAACATAAAATGTTTTGCTCCTGTTTTAATTTGAAGATACTTGGTTACCCTGCTTCGGTGTGTCCTGAATCAACGGTCTTCCTCTATTACATAGGAGTAATACTTTTACTAACATACCTATTTTTCAGATGTAGCCATTGACATTGTCACAAAGTGCCTCTATTGTATTAAAATACATTTTACAAAATGTTGTTATTGTGCTTTAGATTTGGAAATTGAGGACACATATTCATGGTTTCTTCCACTCTCAAATTTCATTAAATAGTTGAGTCTGGATTTATTTCAATTTGAATCAGGTTGGTAAATCCTATTGAAGCCAAAACCAAATCATCCATTTGGTTATATAGTTATAAATCTCACATTCTTGATTTCGAGTCTCACTATCAGCAAAATATTTCTACGTTCTTGACAAAACAAATAACAACATGACATCAAAATAGATCTCAAATTTTGTCTTCTATCAAAGTAGTGATCAGATGGCAGATCGTTACCTCGCCATTTTCTTCGTATCTCTTTCTTGTCTTTATCGATCATTTGATGCGAGTGCTGGAGATGTTGATCCATTATACAGGTAACATATCTTACAATTTTACTTTGCATTTTGCTTCACTGCTGTCCTTTCTAAAACCATTTATTATCTGAATAATCAGGGCATGTATTTCGCAATGTGAAAAAACTGGATGTGTTGGTGAAACATGTTTCACACAATGCAAATACTCTGTAGATGGTTCTTTCTCTGATAGCCAGAAAGAGCCCCTATACCGGCAATTGACACAAACCGATTGCTCAAATGACTGCAAGTACCACTGCATGCTTCAAAGAGAAAAAGAACGAGCTGCACTTGGATTTGGACCTGTGAAATATCATGGTAAATGGCCATTTAAACGAGTGTTCGGGCTTCAGGTTTGTAATACTATGAGCCTTGGACCTATGTTATGAGCCGTGAAAAGTATTTACACAATCATGTCACTTATAAGATAATTATGAGTAAATCTAAAGTTTTTACGCTCTCAGTGCATATAACTTAAAATCCTTTACTGATATATGACTATTGATAAGAAGTGATATCTTAACTTTCCAGGAGCCTATTGCTGTTGCTTTCTCTGCATTTAACCTTGCAATGCATATCCAAGGATGGCTTTCCTTTTTCAAGCTACGATCAAAGACGATAAATAAGAGGATATCTTATGATTATGCTGGTCTATGGCACATATGGGCCTTCTTGTCCGTGAATTCATGGTTTTGGAGTGTTGTCTTCCACAGTCGGTGAGTTCTGCATTTTTCCATAATGATTAATGGGATGAGTTATTGTCTCTTTATATGATCATGGGTAATTTTCACCTCGTGAACTAACTTTCATAGTTGAGTTAGACATAATGTCCTTAATTTTCTTAACATTGTATCTGAGTCAGACTCATCCCTATTCTTAATTTACCAAATGTCAGTCCCATGTTATGTTATCCATGCTCCAGTTGACCTAGTATGTGCATGCAAGGAGGCGGGGATACATTAGATTGTCCCACATTGGTTGATACAATGGGCCGCATATCACCTCATGAGCTAGCTAGCTTTTGAGATAGAATAAAGCCTAAGATACACCTTTTATTTGTCATACTTACACGTGCCTATCATATTTTGGTTTCCTTATTTTCCAAATAAGTGTTTAGGCTTTTCGTTTGACCATATATAATCAGAGGTGGATCTAGGATTTTAGTTCTATGGATTTAGCATTTAAAGTTATGGGTTTATATCTACTGTTTATTGTAATTTTAGTGATTATTTACACATAAATTTATGTTCCGCGTCGAAAGTACTGGGTTCAGTTGAACCCAGTAGTTCTATGCTGCATCCGCCCCGTATATAACAGGCTATTAATCCAGCATGTGGCGAGAAGTTTTATTCATTTTTAGTGAAGTCAATATGGTTATGGAATTGTATTAACTTGTTATTAGTACTTCTATTGCAGAGATGTGGAATTGACAGAAAAACTAGATTACTCATCTGCAGTGGCATTACTTGGATTTTCACTTATTATATCAATACTAAGAAGTTTCAGTATAAGGGATGAGGCTACGAGAGTATTGATGTCTGCTCCACTGCTTGCCTTTACAACCACCCATATTTTGTACCTGAACAACTATCAAATGGACTATGGTAATGTCCTCATCTCACAGTTTTAGTTTAAGGTACAAAGTCATGCATGGAAAGAAGGGTAGCCTTGGCGTAACTGGTAAAGTTGATGTCATGTGATCAGGAGGTCACGGGTTCGAGCCGTGGAAACAACCTCTTGTGCATGCAGAACTGTAGGGTAACACTGCGTACAATAGACCCTTGAGGTCCGGCTCTTCGCCGGGCATAGCGGGAGTTTTAATACACCAGGCTGCTTTTTTATTTATTTTATAGTCATGCATTGAAAATAGGATGTAGGCTACATATTCTTATAAAACCAAGCGCAACAGCATAGGAAGATATCAAGATACAAGGGAAGGAATACAGAGATAATTATTGGGGTGTGTTGCTTTTTGTGTCTATGGACTATAATCTGCACCACCAAGAGTTCTCGTGGAATGATTGAGACCCTTTCACCTTTAATAAATCTTGAATTTGAGTTGTGGGAATGAAAAATCTAAGTAGAAAACGCTTTATTCCTTTTAGTAGGCCAACCCAACTTGAAACTGAATTAGTCGAATCCGTGCTTCGAATGTCGGGTGCCTAGAGGTCGCAATGAGCATATTAATAGGTCAAAGTTGGATGGATCCAAATAAATAAATGGATCATGATCAAACCTGCCCAAAGTGTGCTTGAGTCAAAATAGATTAGGTTAAGATGGATTAATAAGGTGTCATGACTCAACTCGTCCAACATGACTCAATCTCTCCTTCTTTTTTTTTGGGTTTTTTCAAAAAGAAAACTAATTTTTGTTTGAATTATTAGCTCAAATTTACATAATTCTCAGTCTTCAAATTTGATTTTGTATGTTCGGGTCTCGATTGCATTATGACATGTCCAGTTACTGTCACGACCCCAGTTCACCCTCCATGAACATGTCGTGATGGCACCTAGTTCCTACAACTAGGTAAGCCTAACAGTGCGGAATAACAATTAACATTTACGGAATAATTAATTAAAACTGAACATACGGAAACAAAAATTGTATATAAGGCCACTCCGCCTATACAACTCAAAAAAAAATATGCGGAAGTCTACAACTAAAATTCAAAACCCGGAAACTCACGAGAAAACACAGGCTAATAGAGTATAGTAGTCAGCTCTACACCAGAATGTCTAAACAACATGAAAAGGAAAGAAAATGAAACTATCTGCTAAAGCCGGAATAGAGTAGAGACTCCTGGTCTGCGGACGTAGCAGATATACCTCAAGTCTCAGCTAGGACTCTCCACCACGGGGATGATACGGCTGGGAGGAAGTACCTGAATCTGCACATGAAAGACATGCGCACGAAGGGCATGAGTACACCACAGCGGTACTCAGTAAGTGCAAGGCCTAACCTCGGTTGTGTAGTGACGAGGAAGGTCAGGGCCCTACTGAGATAAAACATAATAAATAATAAGATAACGGAAACAGTTTAAATAAAGTCTACAGCGAGAATCTAAACCAGATAAATAGGGAAGAACAGTAGTGGAAAGCAAAGGTAACAATACAAGGAATACTGCTCTCAACAAGGAATAATAGCCGGGGATCTCTTGGTATCCTCATCATATGCACCAGGGATCTCTTGGTATCCCGAGGATCTCTTGGTATCCTCATCATATACACTGGGGATCTCTTGGTATCCCGAGGATCTCTTGGTATCCTCATCATATACACTAGGGATCTCTTGGTATCCCGAGGATCTCTTGGTATCCTCAATAAGTAAGCCGGGGATCTCTTGGTATCCCAATACATATAGAAATACATGTGGTAGGGATCTCTTGGTATCCCGCACCCTCAATCCAGAATATATCGAGTACAGGGGGGGATCTCCCGGGAAGCCGTCCCGTAGTCCCAAATTAAACACACAGCAACAACGACTCATAATCTCATAATATATGCTAAAATCGGTACAAGTAATTGAAATTTCTAGTCTAACGTGCTTCACAGAGTACAAATAGTACAGTCAAATAATTAAGCAAGTGAGTCAGCTAAACATGCTTCTCTAAGCTAGCACAGGTCTAAACTTACAGTCCAGAATGAACAAGTAAACAGGAAAACTCAATTTAAATACTTCAACTAGAAACGGGTTTACAACAATTGGCTCAAGTACGCGCTCGTCACCTCACGTAGGAGGCATTCAAAGATCATGTCCTAAGGGGAAAGGTCCCTCACACAAGGTTAGACAAGCCACTTACCTCGAACCGGCTCAATGTCAACTAGAAGCCACGCTCTTGCCACGAGTATCCGACTCCAAATGGATCAAATCTATTCAATTCAATTACACATTGTACATAACATCGCAAACACCTGGTTTTGCTAATAAATTCAAAGCTACGGCGTAAAATTAGGTGAAATGACCAAAATGCCCTTTAGGCCAACGCCCCGGAATCGAATAATTTTCACATTTTTAGAACCCTCGTACTCTCACGAGTCTAACCATATAAAAATCTCCCAAATTGGAGGTCAAATGCCTACTCAAAACTCAATAGTCTAGCCAATGAAGTTTTACCCCAAATTATCCAATTTTTGATCCAAAATTCGATTTCTCATGATGTATTTAACTATATAATGATAAAGTATAACAAAAAGGGATCAAAGAAACGTTACCCAATGATTTTCTCTTCAAAACCCACTCAAAATCGCCTTCTCCCGAGCTCTCAATCGATTTTTCAAACTTATGAAATTAAACTCTCGAAATTGCTATTTCTGAACAGTGAATACCGCTTCTGCGGTCTAGGGACCGCTTCTACGGTCCCGCCTATGCGAAGCACTGGCCGCTTCTGCGGCTCCCTTTAAAAATCCCAGCTTCCGCTCATGCGGTTCCCATCTCGCAGAAGCGGATCCCGCTTCTGCGGTTTCCTAGAGGGTGACCAAAAGTCGCTTCTGCGACGTCCAAGGCCGCTTCTGTGGCTCCGCTTCTGCGGTTCCCAGGCCGCAGAAATACCAGAAAGAAAAATACCAGCTGCTGCAACACTTAGAGATTTCCTCCGTTAACCACCCGAAATCATCCCGAGGCCCCCGGGACCTCAACCAAAAGCACCAATACCACCTAATATCTTATTCGAACTTGTACCAATCCTTAAAACACCTAAAACAACACCGGAAGCCGATTTAATCAAAGATTCAAGCCTAAGAACTTCAAATTTCTTCCAAATACGATTTAGATAAAAAACTAACCAAAACACGTCCGAATGACCTGAAATTTTGCACACACATCCCAAATGACATGACGGAACTACTGTAACTTTCAGAATTCCAATCCGACCCTCGGATCAGAAACTCACTATCGGACCGGAAACTTATAATATTCAAACTTTGGCATTTCAATCCTAAATGAGCTACGGACTTCCAACATACATTCCGAACACGCTCCCAACCCCGAAATCACCTAACGGAGCTAACGGAACCATCTAATTTCCATTCCGAGGTCGTCTTCACACTGTTCCGACTACGGACCACTTTTCAACACTTAAGCTCTCATTTAGGGACTAAGTGTCCCAAAGCTCTCCGAAACTCAACACCGAACGTCCCGGCAAACCAAAATAGCAGAAATGAACTTAGGGGAATCCGTTAATGGGGGATCGGGGCGTAAATTCTTAAGACGACCGGCCGGGTCGTCACATCCTCCTACACTTAAACATTCGTTCGTCCTCGAACGAGCATAGAGAACATACCTGATGTAGTGAAAAGATGAGGATAACTGCTGCGCATATCCTGCTCGGTCTCCCAAGTCGCCTCCTCGGCCGGCTGACCCCGCCACTGAACCTTCACTGAAGCTATGTTCTTTGACCTCAACTTCCTGATCTGCCTGTCCAATATAGCCAATGGCTCCTCAACATAGGATAGATCCTTGTCCAACTGGATTGAACTGAAATCCAACACGTGCGACGGATCACCATGAAACCTCCGGAGCATCGAAACATGAAATACCGGATGAACTCCGGCCAAATTGGGAGGTAAGGCAAGCTCGCAGGCAACCTCCCCAACTCGCCTCAAGATCTCAAAAGGGCCAACAAACCTCGGACTCAGCTTCCCTTTCTTCCCAAACCTCATAACGCCTTTCATAGGCGAGACCCGAAGCAGAACCCGCTCACCAACCATATATGAAACATCACGAACCTTCCTGTCCGCGTAACTCTTCTGTCTAGACTGGGCTGTACGGAGTCTGTCCTGAATCACCTTGACCTTCTCCAATGCATCTTGAACCATCTCTGTACCCAATAGCCTAGCCTCACCCGGCTCAAACCAACCCACCGGAGATCTACACCTCCTACCATATAAAGCCTCATACGGCGCCATCTGAATGCTGGACTGATAACTGTTTTTATAAGCAAACTCCACCAATGGCAAGAAATGATCCCAAGACCCTCCAAACTCAATCACACACGCACGGAGCATATCCTCAAGAATCTGAATAGTGCGCTCGGACTGTCCGTCCGTCTGGGGGTGAAATGCTGTGCTCAACTCCACCCGAGTGCCTAACTCCTGCTGCGCGGCTCTCCAGAACCGCGATGTAAACTGAGTACCTCTGTCTGAAATGATAGAAACTGGAATACCATGCAGACGGACGATCTCCCGGATATAAATCTCCGCCAACCGCTCCGATGAATAAGTGGTACACACAGGAATGAAATGAGCGGACTTGGTCAGCCGATCCACAATGACCCAAATGGCATCAAACTTCTTCAAGATCCGTGGGAGTCCCGAAACAAAGTCCATGGTGATGCGCTCCCGCTTCCACTCCTGAATCTCTATCTGCTGAAGCAACCCACCCGGGCGCTGGTGCTCATTTTTCACCTGTTAGGAGTTGAGGCATCTAGACACATAACCAACTATATCTTTCTTCATACGCCTCCACCAGTAGTGCTGCCTCAAGTCCTGATACATCTTCGCGGCACCCGGATGGATGGAATACCGCGAACTATGGGCCTCTGCTAGAATCAACTCTCGAAGATCATCAACATTGGGCACACAAATCCGGCCCTGCATCCTCAATACTC